CAGACCGATTGCTGCAGCTGAGTGTTTCCTTTCTAAAAAGCCACAGGCTATTGGTGGTAAAGGTGGGAGGATATTCAGAAAATATTCTGTGTGAGCATGTGGAAGACAAGTGTTCAAACTCGCAGAAATTACAGTAGGAGGGGTATGAGTAGGGGGCTAAGAAAGGAGAGAACAACTTCCTAATTCTATTTGTAGGATTTGCTGTAGTATCAAGACCTGAAAATATCCTCCTTCTGCAAAACTGTTCAAATACTTTCACCGTGAGGAAAATAACCCCATCTCACCAATGTCATATATATTTTGTATATTTTGTTCCAGAAGTCAGGGTCCATCTGCACATTTGAAAGGAGGAACATGTTTTTTGCTTGCCCCAAGATAGTATTTTTTGATTCCTGTGCAGCCGGTGAGTTAGTGCTCTGCCAAAACTCTTTGTTGGGGAAGAAAGGTGTGAAAGCTGCTTGGAAACAGCTTGTTTCTATTTGATGCTCATAACTCATGCAGCAAGAGGATTTTGCTGGCAGTGTTTTTGGTAGAGGAGCAAATAAGAATGATAGCTGAAGTGACTCGGGGATTACTGGACGACATTGTATTTATGTCAGTAGTGTAGACTGGTCCGAGTCGGTCGTCACCTTGTGTTGCTGAAGGGCTGTTGAGGGACCAGAGAAGTACGCTAGGTCCCAAACTGGTCAAGCTATAGACCCTGCTGTAGGAAAATGCGTCACTGGTGCTCTTCAGTGTAAGGACTATGGATACCAAGAGAACAGTGATAAATCATTTGCATCGGCTTCTAATTCAAAAACTTTTCACTGTTTGGGTTTTTGTTTGGTTTTCTTGGGGACAGGGAAGGGGCTGAGCTAATTCCGTAGGCTTTGTGTTTTACAGTAGATCTTGTGTGAAATATAAATCTGGCATGGTGTGTTTAAAAATACTGTGGCAGGTTTTTAGACCGCCTCTTGCTCAGGACAGAACTGCAAAGGTATAGATTTCAGACCGTGGTGCCCTTGACTATCAAACCTGTGGCTATGTCTAACACATCTGCAGAGAGCCTTTATTTATTCTTCTGCTGCTGCTTAGATGTTGCAGTGACACTTTACCTGACTGTAACAAATGCAAGTGGTATTTTTTTTCCCCTATTTTTTAAAATGCTGATTTGAAAGGATGGCAACTCAGAAGCAGTTTGCTGAGGTGAACATTGTTCAGCAGAGTAGTTATCCACAAGTCTGTCTGAAATGCTGGCAAAAGGATGTCATGAATAGCTTACAGATCTTCTCCTTGAGGAATAAATTGTATATCAAATGATCTGTTCCTGATTTGTACATCATTGGTGCACATGCATGGAAAGGCCATAGGTTATGTCTTTCTGAAGGACGTAATTATATATGTCCTTCTGAATTATATAGTAGAAATCATCAGTATAGTAAAATAAGATGTTGCTGTCAGTGGTGTCTGCTGCCTGCAGAACAACGAATGTCATGCGCGGCTGTGGGCGAGAGAGGCTTTCAGGTGGAGACTTGCCCCTCTGATGTTTGTTTTCACTTGGGGATTTTTACAGACTTAAGATCATTCTCAAAACCTTGAGTAAAAATACAACTGTTAATAAACCAGTTAAAAATTAGCTGTCTGCACATACAACCTTGCTTGAACAGTTCGCTGCGCTGCCATCTCTTCCTGTTGATAGATGTGTTTGACCAACCTTAGAACAAGTATTTTATATCAGTCTTTGCATCTGAAATGAGATTCCTTCCTGTAAAAGTTTGGCTTAGCTATTTGATCACTGTGGACAAAAATAGATAGCTTTTACAAAGACATTTAGACCTCTTAGAACAGAAGAATTGCTAAGAAGTGAGGAGAGGGATGGGACTGAGCCCTTGGCTAAAACCAGCTCTAATTGCAGCTGTTCAGCGCTGAGACTTTACCCTGAGTAACCGTCTGTCATGAGATGCTCTGTCCTTGTCCTTCTTTTCTTTCTTATTTTGCTTCTGGTGTTCCTCTAAGAGAATAATGTCAATATCCCAAGAGTCTACCACTGCACAGATAGATATGCTAGAGTTTAAAAAACTCATTTCTGGGAGAAAGTCTGTTGTGGCATTGGCTTACAGTGAAATGCCACGCAGCACAGTGAAATGGAGGCCATCATGTTTTCAGCAGTTCTCTTTTTTTCTCTTTTAAAGATGCGTATGCAAGTGGAAGGACAAGCTGAGTAATAGCCCAGCCCAGGGCTCATGTTATCCTGGGCCTGAAGCACAGTGGGAGCAGAGGGCTAGGCATCCTCTGCAACTGTGTGGGCGCTTGGCTGTCACTCATTAGTAATTGGACTCCTGTCAGTCTCTCGTCATCTCATCTGTAGTGAATGGTCATAATCTGGACCTTTTACTAGTGTTGCCCTTTGGCTTCTCTGCCTCTTTTAGGAATAGCGTGGCATTTGCAGTCATGCTGATGTTATTCCAGATAAAACCTCTGTCGTTCATTCTCATCAATGCTTCATCCTCATCAACACACAGCATTACACACAGGATGTGTTTCTGTGCTCTTAGATTCTTGCACTGCGTCGACTTGCCTCTCTTCCTTCTCCCACCATCCCCATTCTGTTTAACCTGTGATCAGTCTCCTTAAGTAGCTACTTTGTTCTGCATCATGCATCTGCACAGGTAACCCACTTTCCGATTTGTTCATATTAATATATATATATATGTAGGCTTTTGCCTACTCCAAACTTAGTTGTACTCTAAGCATCTTCCATACTGTTAGCCATCTGTCCTGACAAACACACAGTCCCAGGAATTGTCAAAGCCATCGCATCCCTTTGCAAGCAGCTGCTTACAGTTAGCAGAAAGACTGTGTGTGTCAGTATCCATGGAGGATGTCCCATGATGCTAGATCATGTTCAAGAACATTCATAAACAGTTTTTAGTTCTTACTGACACGTTCTTGGGGTCTGGAGAGACCAGTGCTGTAAATCTGCTCTGCCCTCTGGTCCACTGACTGTGACAATTTGTCTCTGGCTGTAAGCAGCACCGAGCACTTTGGGAGGATGATGGAGAATGCTCAAAAGGTATCCATGGAAGATCACAGCCTCGGGACAATTTCTGACACCTAGTAGTTGGCTTAAACCATGAGCAAGGTGGTTTAGATCCGTTCCAAAACTGTCATTTAGTATTCTAGCGCTGGGTACTCTGTGAGAGCTGACAGCCATTTGATTCGATATAGCTGTTTAGTGTATGTGTTCAGTACTTGAATTCATGTTTTCTTCTTTTTTGCATTATTATTTGACTGTTCAATTCCCCGGACTGTGAGGAAGGGGAATGTTGAATAATTCCCTGCTCCGTAATAACTTAGTGTGGAAAGGCAACCGGTGCCATGCATCAACTTAAACTGCTGTCTGGTAAAGTTGCATTAATGTGTATAAATAATGTATATCTTTGTGGAGGAAGTGCTTTGTCTTTCCAGTGAATGGTTGGCTGATGGGAGAGGCTGAAAGACTGTATACCCTTGCTAAAAAGGTTTTGTTTTGCTTGTGCCTAGATCATTAAAGTGAATTTGTGATCCTGTAACTGCAACTAGGAAATATCTTGTTTAGTGTAATATGCTAAAGAATTTCAAAAGACCTTGTGAGAAATCAGCTAACAGATGACTTTGTGGTTTGGGGACTGGTATCTCTTCCACCTCAGGAGGAAGGATCAGGATTTCCCTATTTTAGTATTTACATACGTTTTAAGGACTGATGCAAACTATTCAACTGCCATTCAACAGCCATTCAGCTGTTGGTTTATAACAGGCAGCAACTGTTTCACTCTGTGGTTTTGGTTCAGAGATGGCTTGAAGAATAACCATGATAGCTGACTAATTAACAGCTAAACTAGGACAGCATTGTCACTTGCATTTAACTGAAGTAAAGGTAAGTCACTTGATTATGACATTTGTTGAAAATGTAAAAATTGACACTTCTTTGTTCATGAAAAAAAACCCAAATTATTTTGCAAGTTCTTAGTTTCCACAGCAGGTGGTCACTGAAAGCAGGCGGTGCAAATAGTCATTTCCATCCTGCTGCAGTGGCTGTAAAACAGTGTCTCCCATGTGTTTCTAGGTGTTGCTTGGTCTTGGATGGGAAAAGGACTGGTGCTTAGGTGAACATTTGAAGCACTTCCAGTGTCCATATTTTTTACCATAATCCTAAAATCATGTCTGTTCCACAGGTTATAATAATCTAATATTCGGTAAAGAGTGTAGCTGTGGACAATCTAAACTGTCCCAGGCCACACTTGCCATCTAATCACAAAATAAAACTTTTCTGTGCCAGTTCTCAGCAAATTGGTGTGCACAGGAGAACCAATTAAACAAAGGGCAGGCAGATAGGGAATTCAGTGAAGGGAAGCTTTTCCAGACTAGCCTGACATTCTCACGTGTACAGTAAAATACAAATTGTACTTGCATGTTATATCGGTATGGGGCTGACTGTGGTGTGTGTTCTGGGATTTCTTACTTAGAGGAGTTTGGATTCCTCACCATGATTGAGGTTCAGCCTGATTGTGCATAAATGCTTCCCCCCACCTCCACCAAGTGCAACTTTTGTCAATGATTTTTATTCTTCCTATTCCCTTCTGTCTCCCTTTGTCACTTAGCAGAAGGAAGTTTAGTTGCAAGAAGAGGAGAGAACTTTACTTCTATTCCATCTCAATACGGTATTTTTGTTCTAAGCCTGCAAAATGAAGCATTAGAAAAACAACTCAATGGGGGAAACATTTCACTGGTTGTTTTATATACTCGCGCTGTCACTAAACAGAGCATGTAATATATCTGTAAAATGAGCAAAAGCAGCCCAGTATCCTGAGGCTCATGCCAGTCTCATTGAGAGAGGAGCCCAGCAGCCTGGAGCAAACTCTTCCACTTTCTCCTACTGAAAGAGGCATTGTGACCATCAGATGGGCAGCAAAATCCCTGTAGATGTGTGGATGGTTGCTGTACTGATGCTGGTGTCTGTTCTTCTTTCGTCTCCCTGCTAGCTAAAGACTTGGAGTGTTGATGAACTTCAGAGGAGGCTCTCAGCCCTGGACCCCATGATGGAGCAGGAGATTGAAGAAATCCGCCAGAAGTACCAGTCAAAGCGGCAGCCGATCCTCGATGCCATTGAAGCTAAGAAGCGGCGGCAGCAGAACTTCTGAGCCACTGGTAGAGTATTCTTCCATCCTCAAACAATCAGCTCCTTACTTTTATGACTACTAAACAGGTTGATTTCAATTGAAATATGCTAGCAAAATAGAGGGCAATAATTCTGCTCATTTATTTTTCCATAGCACCTTTGTGAACTCAGGAAGGAAAATCCTGATGGTATGTTTTAATGTTAGACTTATATTTAAAACATTATTCCGAAGGAGTTTTGTTACTGTTTTTAGGGGGATTGTGGTATTTAACAGCTGCATCTTCTGTGGGTTTTGTTTTTGTTTTTCTTTGTGAATGCACAGACTCAATTTCAAGCTGTTAACTGTATCTTTCTACTGTTAAGGTACTGATAAGTTTTAGGTCACTGAAGAGAGCAGGTAAGAACATATACAAACTGTTCCAGCCTTTTGAAAGAAGCTTAAATCTCGTTTTTTAAAAAGCCTGTAATAAGCCCCATGCCTTACACTGTATGCTTTAAGCAAGTGTGGTTTCTTCAAGACCTCAGTTTTGTCCTCTTTTTGTGTATTTAATTAATACAAGTAGATAAAGCATGTTGTGCCTCCATCAGAAATTACATTCTGTAATTTAAAATCCACACCGACTTAAAACCAAAAGCCAATCGGTGATCTTATTCCCCTTCGTCTGTCTGTTTGGAAATATCCTTCTGGGAGACCCTGCTGACAGTGGAACCCAGGAAAAGGAACAGTATTTGAATGAGCGGAAGTTGTGTGAACCTCTCTCAGGAATTCGGTACTTCTGCTGTGTCTGAGAGGATTTAAAAATCTCCAGTTTGTGAAATATTTTATAGGCTTCATTTCAAATTTACATTTTTAGATGCTTGAATAAAATCTTAATTTCACAATCCTTCACATTTCTGAAGGTTTAGCACATCAGAAAAGTTGAACCGAAAGTAACGACTTCATTGAATTAACAAATGTGCATTTATGGTGGTGGAGCAAAGGTGGAGTTGATCTGGATGAGAAGACAATTACTGATGTCCTACTGGAAGATATTCAGTCTATTCTCTTCCAGTTCCTCTGGATGCTCTTGTGTTCTTTCTTTAAATTTCCCTGCCATTCCTGCCCAGTATAGCTCAATCAATGAAAATGTCCCAGCGTGTACAATCGCTGTGAGGATGGTGCAATTAACTCACCCTGGTAGAGTAGAGAGCAGAACAGAAGCAGCAAAGAGGTCAGCCTAGTTGCAGGGAGCGACCAAGTGGTGCCCCGTGGGCTGTAACAGCAGAGTTACATAGTTTTAGATCTATCTAGCATATGATGAAATATTTGGACAGAGCAAGTATTTCTACCAATTTGTTTTTATTTTGCTCTGATAGAGGGAACAGTTTCCATGTCATTCTTCTGAAATAGGCCTTGGTACATCACCCAGATAATGAAACTAAATAGCAGTGTCTCCTGAATCAAGTGCTGCTAGAGAGGTGAAGCGTTCATTTCACGCCTCTGTAGGCTCTTTTTTTCCCCCTGGAGCAGACTCTTGGCTACTGTTAATAGGTATACTCCATTGCTGTGAAAGGAACCAAGCCATTTTTACCCCCTCTACAGACCTGGTTGCATTGGTTTGTCTCAGTTTGATACACAGTTTGATACGCAGTGCGAACGCAGCTGTTCCAGAGATGAGCAAACCAGCTGTCCCTAAGGGGAAAGGGAGGCAGTAAGCAGTGTGTCTAGGGTGCTGAAGTAAGAGTACATCCTGGGATAACCAGCTATTTGATAGCCTCAAGTATTGGGAAAGTTTTTAATTAGGAAAACCAAGTAATTAAAAGCTTTGTTGTTATTAGTGGACTAAAATCACTTAGTCCGGACTCTAATGAGGTCTAGTGAAGCGCTGTGTGAACATCAGGGCTCATACAGTGCTCATCTGAAATCTGTGCAATGCGTTGTGCCCTAAACATGTGTTTATTATGAGCAATATTCATGAGCATCCTTTGCATCAAAGAAACTCACACAACTTAGGAAGGAGTTCTCTGGTCAAGTGTTGGATCTTGTATTAGTCACTTGGATGGATCTGGCCCAATACCTCTGGTGTGATAGACATATGTATATGTGACATGGTAAACAGTGCACTGCTTGCATGTGGTGTGGATCAAGCAGATTCTGCTGGGAGTATTTTTACCTCTGCACTGTGTAGGTAACTTTCTAGTGATTGGAGGGCATTAGAAAACCCAAGTTTTAGGTGAAACACCACAGGGTGGTGTCTATTTATGGAATATGCAACCTGTGACTGCTGTTAAGCACTCTTGAGATACGCTGCTGATGTGATTGTCTTAAAATACAGCAAATGAACCAAAATAAGTAAAACTGGTCCAATGGCTTAACTGTCTTTGAACCTTTCTTAAATGTTTGCAGTGGCTGAGACTTGATGATGTTTCTTGCACTTGGAGCTCTAATGCAGAGGAATTATTTTCTCCTTCACTGATTTTCAATCTGTTAGAGAAAGTAATGCCCCTTTTGGTCCCTTTGTAGAGCATCTGGGAGCATGGTTCCTGCTCACTTCTCAGGGTCCTCCAGGCTAAGACCAAGGCTCGTCCGATAAGGGAAAGCTGTTCCAACAAAGTTTTTAAGCAAAAATCTTGCTTAATTGTGAAGCTGCATTAGTGTGCTCCTGCATTGCTGAAAGTGTTCTGGACAAACAATTATCTTTGCTTCTAAAACCAAGATACTGATGATGTCAGTCATGTGAGACTTAAATATGTGAAGTTAGTAGCTTTAACTTTTTTGTAACAAAGAAACTACCAACACTGGCATAAAGTGCTGACTTGAAATGCTATTTTCTAAGATCTGGCTGTTTGTATATAATAGTGTTGGGTCATTAATTTGTATATGTATGAAATAGTAACTTTTATTGCATTCCTCTGCGTTTTTGTTTGATCAGGAGATTTTGTTTGATCTTTCTCAAACATCTTGCCTTATTTGTTTAAAGGGGCGAATAAACTGTCCTTACCTGAAAGCGTCAGTGTCGTGACTCATATTTATGCATTAAAATACTCTGGTGTATTATTGCTTATCAGGATGAGTTTTAACATGGTGTGCCTCTAGTCAACCAATGTTATGGAAAATTCTGAAGGAGCATACAAGCTTTAATAAACACAAACAGTAAACGTCAAATTTTTGAACAGGCAATTCTTTAGCCTTAAAATGTTACTAAGTCTGCATCTCAAGGAGAGATTTGCTTCAGTTCAGGGGCAGGTCTGCATGCTGCAAGCTCTGTGGCAGTTCAGAAGGATGCGTGGTGGAAGTTCAGGCTGTTTCTCCACACACCAAGGAGCATTGGCAGCCCTTCCTGGAGCTGCAATCGTGCAGGAGGTTTGTTTGCCCCAAGGGGTGCTCTGGCAGATGGGGAGGGTGAACTCTGCTGTAGATGCTCACTATCTCTGCTCTGTTATTTCACGCTGCAGTGACTTTCCGGAGCCTGCGGTCAGGTTTGGGACTAGGTACATATCAATTTATCCACCTTCCTACACAACAGGTGATGCTAGAGGCTTGCTCGCCTAATTCTGGCTGACTTGCTGCACTTTCAGCTTTCTAGCTTGGAAAAAGAAGAAGTTGACAGTGAGTGGGTGCTCCCTTCCAACGGTGAACGGTTGGTTTCTACATGGTTTCCCTGAGCAGTTACTAAATCTGTCCTGAAGGGATGACTAACTGAAGCAGAGACAGAATTCATTCAGGAGTCAGCTTTGGTTAGCAATCCCGGAAGAAACAAAATAGATTTGAGCTTTTAAATGTTAGGAAGGAGTGTGGAAATCAAAGGTAGGGAGACCGTGGGCATTTCTAGTAACTGGGAAAGCCTGGAGCTCTTGCATATTCACAGCAACATTACCAGGATATTGCGGAGCCCAGGCATGAAGGGAGGGTTGTACTCCCAGTGCAGCAGCAGCACTGCAGCTGTACCAGGGCAGTGTTCATGTGCATTCCCTTCATGCTGGGAGCAGTGCACCTGCTGCACAAATATCAATTGCATATAACTAACAAAACCAGCACTGACAAGTAGCTATGAGCTGGGGCTGATATTTAGCCAGGTTTTTTCCTGCCCCATGGGGGGAAAAGCCGACTTTCCACGACGCCCATAGCACCAGCAGTTTTTTTCCTCCTCCCATAATAATTATCAGTGCTAAGGTACAAATGTTGCTGTGCCAGTGTCCTTTATGCCCAGCTACTCTTTCCTACACCCTCATTTTGTCCCACTTCCTCCTGTGCATGGGACAAAAGAGTCTGAGCATGTGCTTTAGATAAATGCTTTGAGTGTTGGCTGACAGCCTTGACTTGAGAGTTGACAGTTCTTCATTGCATTAATCGCTCTGGCAAAATCTTAGAGAGTCAAACCAGGAAACGCCCATCAGCTCTTTCCAGACTGAAAGTGACTTAATTGCCCTTTAATTTAAGAGTCCAGGAAGACAGCCAACTTGTTTAAAAAGTTTAAAACAATTCAATTCCATCTATGAAGCACAGTCCGTTCTGCTCCCCTCTAGGTTGTCGCTGTTAAAATCAATACAGCACTGGAAGCAGTGGGAGCCCGGAGTCCCTGAATCCCATCCAGGGTGGTCACAGCAGCAGAACAGCCTCTTGCAGACCTGCACAATCAATGGATGGCTGAGCTGTAGGGTGGCCTTTCTTCAGTCCTGAGAGGCTCACAAGCTCTGGACCATCACTCGTTGACCGTAGAGGTGATGATCTTGAAACAAAGGTGCAGGGTGGTTTTCTCCCTCTGCTGCTCTCAGCAGATTCAGTGTCTGGCTGTGAACATGCATCGCTGGTGCTGTGCTTCCCTGCACACCTGACCTGTGTTTTTCATTTCCTGAAATTGTGTGACCTGTCTAGGCATATTTGGTTAACTTAATTCCACACCTTCAAGGCTATTCCTTTAGCTATCTCAATCGGTTAGAACACAAGCCTTGAGTTTATGTGTTTCCTACAACTAAGTTAATGGCTATGGTTCAGATAAAGGCTAAAGTGAACCCATGAGCATATGCAGACCTTGGGGCTTTCTTACTACAAGGAGAAAGTTTTAGCATAATTTTGTAAAAAGAAATGTGAATTACAGTACTATTTGTCTTTACAGGTCTCCATACATAGTTCAGCCAATACAGGAATTACAAGTAACGCTGATTTAATGCATACATACTCAAGCAGTTCGCTCTGATTTTTGACTCCCTGAACTGAGATCATCAGAGCTGTAGGAGCCTACGAGCAGGACAGATCCCAGAAACACTGCCAGCAAGGAGTCTTTCCTCCTACAGATCAGGCCCTGTAAAATCTCCCAGTTTTCCAATAACCAGCCTAATGCGCAGACCATGCTCGGGGTCATCATGGATCTGACAGTTGGCAAAGAAGTTTTAAACAAAGTAAGGAAGTTTACTTTGTCTCTTTGAGCACAGTTGTCTAATTCTCAGCTGCATGAAACAGCTTAATAAGGTCACTCCTTAATCACCATTCCCTGCAGGCAAGAGAGTCACTCTTTCATCAATCATTTTGTGAGTGTGGAGAGCAGCTTTTGTAGAAATAACCTGATGAAGTGTTTAATTGATTTACCCACTGTACCCAATGAAAATGCAGTCACTCTCAGGAAAACTGATTAGGGATTAACAAAAGAACATGAATTTCCTACTTGCCTTAGAAATAGTAAGTTAGACCAGTCCTGGCAACCCATTGCTGCACTGAAGTGTCTTGCTAATGCGAATGTGGGCTGTGATCACCCACTCCTCTGGTGCTGGGCACCTCCTGGTACCCAGTTCTTCCCTGCTCTGCAGAACTCAAGCTCTGCTAGATCTGCCTGCACAGCAGTGGGAGGATTTTCCTAGTGCAGTTACTCATAGCTATACAAATCCTAATGTCTTCACAGAGAGCAGGAGGCTAAAAAAAGAAAACATCTTTCGTGGCTTTCCCAAACCCGAGCCTGGAGCTGTTGCACACCAGCCCCGCTCTGAGGGCAGCCGCTGTTTGCAGCGCAGCAGAGGGGCTCACAGAAGGGTCCTGCCTTGCTTTTAACCCCCAAGTTGGGGGAGCTTTTGCCTTGGAAAGATTAGCAGCATGTGGATTATTTTTTTAAATGGAAAAACTCTCAAAGGAATAAAGATTAAACTCTATTTTTAATCCTCTCCTCCTATCACATCTAGTGGAGGAATGCACTTGACACAGGGAGAGCAGCAATAAGTCTTCCCCTCCCCAGCCAGGCCCCTGCAGACAAGCAGCCTAGAGACACCCCCCTCATTTCAGAGCATCAGAGGCCACTTAGAGCATGGGGAGCAAGCTCAGCCTTTTATGCTGCCTTGAGGATAAAGGAGGATAAAGCCTAAGCAGCATCAGAGCACAAACTACACCCCCTGAAACACCGGTGAGCCAGCTCCTAAAGAACAGCCACCCCCTTGAAGTAGCCAGACACACTGGTGGGATGTTTCCTCTCTCGAGAGAAAATTGGTGCTGGTTTTGCTCAGCTTGGCTAGCAATGCTGCTCCTTGTGTGCTCAGCTGCTGCTTGGGGGCTTAAAACCCTCTGCAAGTGCAAGGTATTTCCTTAGTCAGCCTGGTGCTGCATGGTGCTATCCTTAGGACTCTTCTAAACCTCCCAAGGGGCTACTGAACTTTTCTAAGTCTACAAGCAGTGTTGACCAGAGGCAGCCTGTGATAATGTAGCTTAATTAGTGATAGCTCTCATCTGCTGATGACCGCAGTCCCTATCACAGGCAGTCTGCTGGAAGCTGGTCTGAGCTTTGCCTATGCAGCAAGGAAAGCAGTGGAGGCTGCATGTGATTAGGGCCACTAAAGCCGAGGGGACATTCTCCATGCCAGGAGATGGGATTTAAACTCAGCTGTGGTATTTGAGCAGCTGCTGGCCTGCACAAGCTAGCCTGAATTTGTCCTGGCTTTAATACTCAGAGCTAATGAAAGAAGCAGGGATGAAGGGAGGATGAAGGCAGCTGTCAGTGTGATGGACCAGCTCCTCTTGGGTCTCTGGAGCTGCAGTGTGCTGTATGGGGATACATACCCTCATCCCAGGCATGATCCCCTGCCCTTGCTAACAGCCACAGCTGCAAGCAAAACGGCTGGGAAGCTGGCAGGGAATATGCACACAAGTCCTCCAGCCTTCTACTAGCAAAAGTGTGCCTAAAATGTTGTTTAACCAAGTTAAGCAATTAACACTTGACACCTAAACTATATTTTCTTTTAAAATGGAGCCTTTTCTACTTTTAGTCTAAAACATGGCCCACAAGCCTGGGGTTAAAACTAGTTTCTTAAAACAAGAGTGGCTATTAGGGGAAATAATGTCTGGCTGCTGCTCCTCGGCTCCCAGCGCTGGGTTTGCTCATGCCGGTGGCTCAGCTCTCGTGTCCCTTGGTGTTGCTGATTGCAGTGTGTGCATTTCTGCAAATTTCTGCTCCTCCCCACCTGCTTCCCAGATTTCATGGGTGTGTAACGAATGCGATGGAGGAACGAACCCTGCTTGGATGGGGCAAGCTCTTTGCTTTGGGAATCATCCTGCATTTTTTATTTTAATTGTGATCCTTTCCTCTCCCTCTGAAAGCTGCTCGGTGCTTCCCTCCCTCCCAGCCGTGATGCCTTGCTCCCTATGTGGCTCTTCCCAGAGCCCACTGGCTCTGACCCATTCCCTTGCACCCTGAGGACATGCAGTTCATTGGGCCTCCTGGGAGATGGGTTATCCAGAATGCTCCAGCTAAGGTGACACCAGTGGTCCAGGCATGAGGACCCACCATTGGGGCAGGGATGACACAGGGGCTGTTAGGGTGGGAGCTCTGCTGTGCTCAGAGACGGTGCCTGGAGCTGGCTCACGGGGACCTGCAGACGCTCTGCGAGCAGCCTGGCTGCTCCTGCTCCCTGGGGGCTACTGGTGCTGACCCACTGACCAGCTCAGCTGATGCACTGCACGAGCACAGGCACGCCAAGCTGCAGCAAAACAGAAAACCAGCCTCCAAAGCAGGTCACTTAGGTTTTTAATAAAATATACAGTATGCATCCCATGCATAGATAGAAAATTAATTTACATGCTCTTTTAATTATTTGCATAATGCTTTTTAATTAATACATGTAATTTAGTCTTCACATTTTAATATATTTTGCTACTGGAATATTCATGGAGAGAAGAGGAAAATCCTTCCTTCAGTCAAGTAACAGTGCAGCAGGAGCTGGTCAGAGCAGACGATATTAGTTCACTGGTCCCAGCTCGCAGTAAGAATGAGCACAGAGCAGACCACAAACTGTTGATACTGGAAGACTCAATGACACCAGGAGCATGAGCACTCTCCCATCCCATACCGCTGTTCCCTGGGGACCCCTCCCCGAGTCTCACAGGGGTTCAGAAAGGCTGGACCCGCGCAGGTGCTGGTTTGTCTTTTCCTCCCATGATCAGCAGATCGCTGCAGACAGAGCCAGCTCTGGCAACTGCAGCTGTGCCAAAAGCCAGCCAGGACAACTAGTGGCAAACACTATGATCCAGGTGCCTGGGGCCATCCTGCAGCCATCAACATATTTTTGAGCTGATTAGGTGGCTGCAGGGTGCACATTTCTCCTGCTTGGAACAGGCATTGCTGGGTGTATTCCTTTGTGCATGAAGGAGCTGCACAATTTCCAGAGAACTGGGGGCCAAGGAAAAACTCTGAAGGGAATTAATGCTGTGCTAGAAGCAGCCCCAAACGTGCTCAGCTGGGCAGGGGATCTGGGCGGGAAGAGTGCCCGGCTCTCCGGGCAGACCTCCCTGCCTGGCTGTGAGGTGCTCAGAGGCTGCGGTGACGAGGAGCAGTGCAAAGTCCCCTCTGCCCCGGCTACTCCTGTGGACATGGGGGGGTGCTCCCTCCCTGCAGAGGGAAGGTGAGTGCACTGGCACCCGGGGAGCTCAGCTCCCTGCAGGGACAGAGGTGATGGCCGGGGCAGTGTGACCCCCCCCCTCCTTACGCTCCTGCCCCTGCCTGGCCCCAAGACAGGGAAGGACGAGGCAGCAGAGTGAGGCTGGGCTGGGGGTTGTGGCGAGGGGGACCAGGGCATGTACCAAACCCTGCTGGCTTTTGTCATCTCTTCCACCTCATCACAGCCTGCTGCAGCATCTGGGCTCCCTGGCAGCTCTTCCCACAGTGGAAATCACAAACACACGTCAACGGCAGAGGCAGCTTCTGTGTGCCCAGGAGTGTCCCCCCATGTCTGCTCCCTGATAGCCCTTTGCAGGGACTCTGTCTCCTCTCTGCCCCGCAGGCTGGGTGCCAGCAGCCACAGAGACCAGCCGCTCCTCCAAAACAAATGCTCTGTGGCATGGGAGCCCCATGGAGCAAAGGGCTTGCGGGGGAGAGCCCCACCAGGGGTGGCCCCTTGGTTCCCCCAGCTTGATCCCCTCCGGCTGCTCCTACCTCAGAGGACAGCAGCCCTTTTGCCTGATCATCCATGGCTGGTGCCCTCCCTGCACAGACAGTGCTCCCAGCTCTGCCATGCTCCCAGCACAGCCCCCAGATCCCTGGGGATCCTGGCAGGGGCAGCACAGGAGAGTGGTTAAACCCCACCTGCAATGGAAGGAAGGTGAGGTCCAGCCAGTCCCACTGCAGGGGCTGGGGACAGTGGGGCTCACCCTGAGCTGGACACGATATCTCTTCCCATACAGACTTATTTCCAACCCTCTTTCCCCCATGGCTGGTGGGGCAGCTGAGCCTTTTGAGGCTGTTTCCAGCTGGGGTTAGGACAAGGCTGGGCTGGAGTTGATGCCAACCTGGCACAGGATCTGCAAGGGCAGCCAGCCTGATTGGGGGCTGCCTCACCCTCAAGCTATCTAACCTCATCCTGGACAACACAAAACCTCAGGGCAGAGGAAAATCACCCTTCATGCAGCTGGGGCAGTGCCTGATCAGGGGTCACCTGTATTTCTTTTTTTCTCAGTCCATCTCTGGCATGGGTATGTCTAGCATCGCAGCCTCCATTTGCAGCCATGGGGGAGCAGGGCTGTCACTAGGTGAAGGCTGAGACACGTCCAGGTGGACCTGGCTGCTGTGTCCTGGGGGCTGGAAGCAGCTGGCACCCACTGGGCATCTCCTCCAACCCCTCCTGTCCTTCACAGGGCAGGGGTGATGCCAGGCGTGGTGTGAGACAGGGAGAGCCTGGCTCCTCCACCGTGTCCCGGTGCAACACCCATGCCGTGCTCATGGTGAGCAAACAGGTCCCATGTGAGCCCCGGTGCCACGGCACGGTGGGGTCAGGGTGCAGGGTGGGTGCCGGGGGTCAGACTGCAGCGGTCGGGGCTGCCTCTGCCCAGTGAGGTCTCGCTCAGAGCCTCCGAGTCTCGATCGCGGCTGGAGGTGCTCTCCATGTCCTCGGGGTCTTTTTTCCCGCTGTTCCTCACGGCTGCCTCCAGCGCCTTCTGCTTGCGATAGAAGTGGGAGAACTTGTTGAAGATGATGGTGATGGGCAGCGCCACAACCAGGATGCCCCCCAGGATGCAGCCTGAGGCAGCCAGCTTGCCCGCCACAGTGACAGGCACCACGTCGCCATAGCCCACAGTGGTCATGCTGACTGTGCCCCACCACCAGCATGCCGGGATGGTGTCAAAGCCAACGTCTTCCTCCTTCTCAGCAGTGTAGGCCACGCCGGAGAAGACAGAGACCCCCACGGCTAGGTAGAGCAACAGGATCCCCACCTCCCGGTAGCTGTGCTGAAAGGAAAAGCAGAGCGGTGGTCAGTGGGGGCCATCACACCTGCCATGGCCAGGACACTGGAATCCGCAGCGCAAATACGGCCCTGCATGCAGACTGCCTTCATACCTCTGTCAGGGGTCTCAGTATCCATCTCTGCCATGGGATGTCCCACTGCAGGGACAGGCTGAGACAGACCAGGGGGTGCGTGGGTGACCCATACACCCGGAGCGAGTGGGCAGCTGAGAAATCAGCCCTGGCACCCACAGCTGCCCCTCTGCCCTCCACCAGCCTGCGAGGGGAAGGCAGTGCTGGGAGCAAGAAGGAGACTGGTGCTTCCCAGCCAGAGTTCCCAGGTAGAGGCTACTCCCCTGCCTCCAGCGCTCACTCTGACCTGATCTCAGCTAACAGTATTTAGACACATTTTCCTTTTATCTTGGCAGGTCCCCAGAAACCACCTAATAGGCAGCCTCTAAGTGAAGCGATTTGTATTTTCCTGAGACGCTGGCGATGTGCTCACAGGGAGGATGTGCACTTCTGCTGCAGGCTCAGGTCTAGATCTTCAGCCCTGGGCTCCCCACTGCCAGGCAACCCCACAACCACAGCCCCAGGGACTCACCTGCTCCCTCCTACATCCCACACCATCTACAGTCCCGTGGTCCATTTAACCCTTTGTTACACACCTGGGTAGGAGGGATCAAGGTGCTCCAGCTAGCAGAGTTCAGGAGGCTGGAGAGGGATATTGCACTCACAGGACACAGCTCCAGGGGAGGCAGAAACTACCCCCTGCCCCAGTTTCTGTCCCCTGTGGTCCCATTCCTTGGGACACTTGAACCCTGAGGTTCTAGATGACTTCAACCTGTGTTTAAGCTGGCTATAGGACACCAACAATGGTAAAGCAACACAAGGCAGTCCCTGGCTGGGCTTGCTGCAGCACGGCGGCTGCTGCTCTGTTGCTCAGCCAGGCTGGGTGGTAGTTCCAGTGGTCCTGCAGCACCCCACTGCTGGGGTGTCCCAGTCTCCTAACAGCCAGAGAATGCTTTATTGGAGACTACATAATGACTAAAAAAACAACATTTGAACAAAGAAAACAGCAGAAGATGTGGGAAAAGAGCTTCCACGGGCAAGATGAGACATAAAGGAGGTGGATTCACGGCAGGGAGCGAAAACACTTTGCTTAGACTGCTGGCAAAAGCTCCTCAGCTAATGCCAGTAATACTGAGGGGAAATAATCTCCTCCACCGCCGCCATCACCTGTGGCTGCAAATGCCCTACAGCAGCTCTGAGAGAGCTCCTTGGGAAGGACAAACATCTCAGAGTCACCAAGTTTCAAGGATGTATCACTTGGCCATGAAAGGCTTGCTCCTGGCTGGAGCTAAACAGCACGTCTGTATGTCCCAGCTGGGGAGCAGCAGAGCCGAATAACTTTATACATTTTTAAAGAGTATCAGTTATGGTCCTGGGATGCATTGGAGGGTGAAGGTGAGGGGGAAGTCAGGCAGCTCGATAGCTCCTACTGCTTTAATTTACAGGGTCAGGGCTTGCGGCACAGGGGAGGCTCCAAGAATCTCCCAGCTGATGCTCAGGCGCTAGCTACCACCTATTTGCAGCCATTTACCCTCAAAACACATGGTTGGCTTCTTGATCCAGGGACAGGCAGCCACAGCTGTGGTTTGGGTGGGGATGCAGGCTTAGCTGTAGTTTGGGAGGGGATGCAGTTTTAGCCATGGTTTGGGTGGGATGCAGGCTTAGCAAGCAGCCAGCCTTGGGGGAGGCAATGCTGGGTAATAAAAAACTCCAGGGAAACAGCCACCCCAGCAGCAGTCTCTTTGGGCTTCTGCCTTGGCAGGAGGTGTGCCTGCCCTTGGGACAGCCAAGGGCCATGCATGGGCTCCTTCCCCTGCTGAATGTAAATCTTTCCTCCAGTGCAGCAGAAGACAAATTAAATGGAAGAGCACAGTTTGAGCCAGTCTGGAGATACCAGCGTGGGGACTGAGCATGGAGATGGCCCATGGTAGCAACAGCAGAGTGATGGATCTCCTGTCTGGGAACATGCAGCTCTGGCTCTTCCAACCTATTTGTGTATTTAGGCCCCTAAGGGGACAAACAGGAACTCCTGTAGATCCCTACAGATGCCTAAATTACTCAGTGCCTAATACCTATTGACTTCCAGTGGGAGACAGGCACCAAACCCGCACCCAGGAAGCTGCAATAATGGTAATGGATGTTGTGCACAGCAGGGAGGAAGAGCAGAGACATGTGGGAAGCCTCTCCTCAAATTAAATAGAACCTGGATCAGGCCCCAAGCAATCGGAATATGGTTCAGAGTTTATGTTGCACAAGTGACAGAAATCCCTCTGCTAGCACTTTTGTGGCAGGGGAACGATTACTCGGCTTGCCAGAGCCATCGCTCCTGCTTCCTGGCTGTTAACAGCCTTTACTCCTCCGCTGCTGCTTTATGCTCTTGCAATAGGAAGTAAATTATGATTAACAAGACATTGTAATTTATGTGCCCAGTAAATCACAATGCCAAGCTGCTGCGTCAGATTTGTGTCTTCGCTCATCCCCATTTACAGCTGGCTCCGGAGTCCCTGGGAAGCGGCACTTTCCAGCATGTCACTCGCTGAATCAGCGGCTCAGCAGAGGCCTGAGCCGGGATGCTGCTGGCTCCCTGGATCTCGTCTACTGCTTAATAACATGCAGACAAGCCCATCAGTCCCTGCTCTGCTGCAATGTGTTATTCACACTTAAATGGAGCACAGAAAGGGTTCAGGGAGCCCTTCCCACATGTACAATTTCATTTAAACTCCGCAACAGTGTTACATGGGTCTGTCACTTGCTAATTGCTCTGTCAAGGTGAGTGTTCAGAAGTATGATTACAGGTAGGACTTCAGGCATCTTCATTTCAAATAATCCTCCCTGGACCCCATTTTCAGCAGGCTTTGAGGATGGATGCCAGGAATTTTTTTTCCCCCATTTTTTTCTGATAGTCTATGGGACTTGCAGGATTAGTGGTGGGCTGGGCTGGTCCTGCTTCACAGCAGAAGTTGGCAGAAGACCTTTCCTACTGCCCATCCTCATCCCCAGCCATGCTCAAGGGTTGCTTTTCTCCATGGCTCATCCACAGGAACGGGTCCAACCCTGGCAAGTCAAGTCCTGCTGACACCAGGACATCCCATGCTGGCCCTGCCATGGCTGCAGCAGTGAGAAACAGGGTGTCCCCAACCACAGCTGTGCCCACTTCATCCCTGTGATGGCCCTTCAGTACCAGGAGCTGTGGCTCTGGCCCCTGCCAGGCACTGAGTGGGAGGAGAGCATATCCTTTGGTTGAATACCAAGCTGTTATGAAGATTGCTTTCCTCAGCCATTTGTTTGGCATAGCCTTTGTTTGAAGGAGGAAAAAGTACAGGGATATTTCATGAGCAGTGCTTGAAAACCAGTCTTCTGGTTTAAATGTGGGGACCAGAGATGGTCCCACAAGGAGAGGAGATGTTCTCCCTGGTGACCGCCTCCCTGTGCCCAGCACAAGCCCTGTGTGTGGTGGGCATCGGGAGCATGTGTCACTCTGCGTCTTGACAGGCTCAAGGATCGGCTTTAGGATTTCTCTTGATGTGGTTGCCAAGAATCAGAGGCAATTAAAGGCTGAGTTTAATTGGCCTCTGCATCAGGCTGGATTTTCTGCCTAAGTGGAGGAGGTGAGGGGACAGTTTCACCCTCCCCAGATTCAGGCACATGGCCCTCAGCATGAGGGGGATGGAGGAGAGAGGGCCGGCGGGGGAGAGCTGAGAGCTGCACAAGGCACTGTGGCTGGTCCGCCGAGCTGCAGCGATGGAGGTCTGGGCTGCAGCCCCAGGCTGGTGTGGATTTCATGATAGCTTCATGCTTTGACTCTTGTCACAGCTGACCTTGGTCTGTCTAAGGAAGCTGGGGGTGCTGCAGAGGGGGTCTGGAGAGACACAGCCTTGGGGCATGCCATGGAGGATGAGGCCCTCCTCATCCCTGGTCCTTCACTGTCTCAGCATCTCCTCATCTAGCTCTTCTTCCTGAGGACTGCATGGTCCTGCGGCCAGCTTCCCCCAGCCCTGCATGTTGTGCTTTCCCTGAGCCTCTCCAGCACACTGAGGGGCAGTCGCTGGTAGCCCAGGCCCTGCTGGAGACATGCACCCTGCCTTGGGCTGGTTGTCCCAGGCCCTGCAGCTAACCTGCTTTTCTATTGCTGCTCTGCGCCACCCATGGTTAACTGTGTGCCAGTCCCAACCTTATCATACCATGTAGCATCCAAGTGTCAGCCCAGCTGGAGCAGGATCTCTATGTCTCTATAGATGGGCAGACACCAATGGTTGGATGCTGGCCTCTGGACAGCTGGCAGCATGCCCTTAGGAGGTTCCCCCTTCCCCCAGACTGGGGACAGGAGCAGCTCTGAGCCACACATGCTGGTGCTGGTATACCCAGCAGCTGCTGGCTGACCCGGTCCCTGCTCAGCAGGTCACTCACAGCCTGGCTAGGCACTGATCCAGAAGTGGGTCATCACCATCCACCCATGCATGGCCGAGTCCGTCTCAACACTGTGCAATGGGGCTTGCACACCATGGTGGGAGGGGTGGCTGAGTCCCTGGAAGCACCAGTTCTGCATGAAGCAAAGTCTACCAGCAATGGGGTGAATTGCTGTTTGCTTTGAGTGTTTGTACAAACAGGACTCATGCAGTGCTCCTCACACTTGGTTGCTTTAGCGGACACACAAACGAACAACCCAGCCCACCACCCCAAGCATGCTTGACAGACACTACCAGAGCTGGTAGCTCACTGGGAACAGGAATGTCCACATCCCCCAGCCATACCAGAGGTCTCCTTCTCACCCATACACTATAGGAGTAGATAAGCAGATAGAGAACCAGTTTACCTTCAAGGTGGCCCCCAGTGACCTCAGTCCAGTGGAGTGCCGAGCCAGCTTCAGCACCCGGAATATCCTCATGAGCCGAAACACCTGCACAACCTTGCCCAGGTTGCCCAGCTCTGAGTCACTGCCCATGGTCACATCCACCAAGAGGGTGAAGTAGAAGGGCAGCACTGAGACAATATCAATCAGGTTCAGTGGGTGCTTGAAGAATTTCCTGGGGTTGGGGGAGAGCAGAAGGCGGGAAGACACTTCAAAGGTGAACCAGGAGATACAGAAATACTCCAGCTTGTGCAGGACAGGTTCATCAAGCACATTGCCATTCTCATCCACCTCCTGGTACTCAGGCATGCTGTGGATGCACATGGTGGCTATGGAAACCAGCACCACGCTGATGGACACGAAGCTGAAGAGTTTGCTGGGGATGGAATAGCCGGGGTTCTCCATGGTGAGCCAGAGGCGTTTGCGCACGTTGCCACAGCGCAGTGTGCTGTAGCGCAGCAGGTCGTGGTTGATGTCAGAGATCTCATCGGGGGATGTGTCCACGCTGCTGACCTCACTCTCCTCATCCCAGTTGTGGTGCCGGCTCTCCAGCTTGCGCTCATGGTAGCGGTAGCTGCAGCAGGAGTCCAGGAAGAACTCATTGATGCCCCAGTACTCAATCTCCTGGCAGAAGGAGAAGACGCACAGCTCCTCCATGACATGCAGCTTCCCTGTCTGGTAGAAGTGGAGCACATAGAGGAAGAAGCCGGGATTTCGGTCAAAGTAGAACTCCCTGGCACTCACATCGTAGTCATCGCAGAGCTGCAGGATGGACTCCTCTGAGTCACAGGAGAGCAGGCGTCCCAGGCGGGTGTCAGGGAACTTGGAGAGGGCACTGGAGCTGAGCCGCCTTCTCAGCCCCCCCACGTTGATGTTGATAACGTCCTCCTCAAAATGGGGACCCCAGTAATTTAAGGTCTTGTTGACCATGATCAGCAGAACGGGAGCTGGTTCCACCTGGAGGCAAGACACAGCAGGGCTGGAGGGGACACAGGGCTCCCCCCGCCCCCGGTGCTCCCAGCGGGGAGAGGGCCAGAAGCACCCTGGGGAGTGAGGAGGGATGTTTGCATTTTGAAAAGAGAGGACCAGGGAGAGGGGAGGGGAAAGAAACAGCTTTGGGCAGTTGTTCTTTGGTGGTATGGAAGGGGGAAGAGGTGGGGGAAGCCAATGATTTTTCCAGGTCAAACTTTTCCTTGCTTTTTTTTAACCTCTTAAAGTTTCTCCCTTTGCTAATGGCCTAAGGTAGGCAGTTTACTGCACCTCTGGCGTGTCAGCCATGGGGCTTTCCTTGTTCAAACAGGTAAATTAGTCACTGAAGAGAGGATTTATCCCCCAAAGAGCCTCCCCTGTGGAAAAAACAGATCTCATGCTGCCCTGTGCTCATCAAATCACTGCCGCAGTGATTCTGACAAAGAGCTTTGTAGCCTGACTACCTATGTTGCTAATTAGACCTGGTCACAAAGCCCTTAGACTGTGCAATCTTCCCTGCTGTGCAAGCAGCAAAGGCAGTTTTGCCAAAATCAAAGTGTTTTCACAGAAGGTGTCAGTTTTAGGGAGAAATTCAGTGGAAGAAGTGTCAAAACAATTCATCTGCATGCTTTGTTTCTTCTTGTGTGTTCTGTCATGTAAAATATTACGATTATTTTTATAATGCTGAAACAGCAAAAGCATGATTCAGAATCATTGATTACTCTGGATTAAAAACCTGTATGCTGGGAGGGAAATAAAAATCAAAGTTTTGATTTCTGTTGTGTTTCAGGATTTTAGAAGTATCTGGGAGCTGGGCTTTTCCATCCAGTAGAAATTCCATTTTCTAATGAGAAGCAGTTAAAGAATCTAACAAAGAGAAGCATTCCCACACCTTCAAATGCATTCACCCATGTTGACCAGAGGCTTAGAATAAAAAGGCAAATAAAAAGGTTTGTGATCTTCCTGTGTCACTTTGAAATCAGACTTCTCCACCTACCTTATTCATCAAAACACCTGGGAACGTGCGGACCAGCCCCGTATCCACGCGGTCCCCCTGCTCCTGGCATGGGAGTGTTGGGTGTCCTCAGGAATGACATTGCATTTGCTCTCTTGGTTGAGGAATTACATTTCTCCCCATGCATCAGCTTCTTTGGAAAAATCCTGCTATTAGGCGTGACTTGCTCCTGAGCTCTGCTCACACTTCCAGGGTTGATGCTGGTACCAACACGACTTCTGCAGCCGCTGATGCTTTTGCTGCAGTGGTCATGGAGGCATTTGTAACCTCCAGACTAGCCTGTCTCCCATTTCAAAGGCTTCCCTCCCTGGTTTTAATCAGCCAGCTGCTTATTAGAAAAAATCCCTCACCTTCTCTGTCTTGTGTCGCCTACTGAAGTTTTCAAACTTCTAGGTGCTGCAGGGACAGAGGCCACAGACAGGCAGCGGGAGATGAAGGAAAAGGCTGCAGCAGCCCCCACGGTGATGCTGAGGTGCCACCAGACCCCGCACAGGACAGTCCTGTCCGACAGCAGCCACTGAGGGCCAAGGCCAGACCAGTGACACGACACGGGTCCCCCCCCGACCCAAGGGACACCCCGCTTCACT